CTTCCGCATTCAACTTGCAGTATGTTGTTTTTATTGAAATGTACATAGAAAATCTGACTTGACACAGATATGTAGTTGGAAAAGAGGAGTATTTTAGTAGCCTTTTCAACTGCTTGCTCTAGAAACTTAACAAGTGGTAGCTTTTTAAATATTAGTTGCAAAGTGGAATCTGAAGCCATTTCAATGAACCCTTCTGTTCTATTTGTATATCTTGTGCCCTTAAGAGATTTTTTTTTAAGAAATTATTTATTTATTTTCAGAGAGAGGGGAAGTGAGGGAGAAAGAGAGGGAAAGAAACATCCATGTGCCAGAGAAACATCAATTGGTTGCCTCTTGCATGCCCCCACCTGGGGACTGGGTCTGCAGCTCAAGCATGTGCCCTGACTGGGAATCAAACTGGTGACCTTTCAGTTTGCAGGCCAGTTCTCAAGCCACTGAACCACACCAGCCAGAGCCCTTAAGGGATCTTTTCCCTTGAGGAAAGTCTTAAGGGAAAAGATTACCTTAAGGATAATCATCTTAGGATAATTAAAATATCACTCATGTGTGATATTGTAATATAATGCATTGGTTATTTGAAAAATGTTGATGTACTGAGAGTTCCAATTGCTGAAACATTTCATAATATGATATCACATTCAGAAGATTCTCTGATATATCAGTTTTGGGTTTTTCCCCAGCATTTTTAGATGTGGACAATGTGACTATAAGGTTGAAAATGTTAGTCTTATAATCCTAACTTAAGATAATAGTTCATCCTTAAATTAGGAAAAAGTATATTATATATCATCTTTTAGAATAAGGTACAGTTTATTAAACTCTATAATGAGTTTTAATTAACATTAAAATTTGTTTTTATTTGAAAACTTAATATTATTGTGAAATGAGTTAAAAGGGTCCAATCATTTTGTGTTTCTGTGTAGGTTGCAAGGAAAAGTTTGGGATTCAAAATAAGAATCTATGATTCTTATGATGAAATTACAGATATTATAGCAAGAGTGACTAGAGATAGCTAGTCAGAGCACAGGAGTGGTCCTGAGTTATCTCTGAAAACAAACCTCTTCATATGCTAACCTTCTGCTGTGGAACTAGAGCACACCAGAATATACAAGCACACATTCTATCAGTTGTCAGAGCAATGATGCCATCACACATCGTGTAGCTTCTGGAAAATTTCACTGCACAATCAAAAGAGGGAGAGGGAAAAGGGCAAAGTTTTAGCATTACTATGAAAATAGTTTTAGAAATAGGGACTTCTGGCCAAGATGGAGGCATAGGTGGACACACCCTACCTCCATGCACAACCAAGATTGGAACAACAATTCAGAGGCAGAATAACACCCAGAACTGATAGAAAATTTATCTGAATGGAATTTGGACAGCCAAGAAGTTGAAATAGACCCGTTCATCCAGACCGGTAGGAGAGGTGGAGACGAACAGCCAGGCATGGGTCGTGGCGTGGAGAGCAGAGAGACTTGGGCGCATAAGGCAACCGGGGGTACGTAAGGCATCTGGGGTGCTCAAGATCGCAGTGGGTGGACCCTGAGTAAGCAAGCGGCAGCTGGCGGACCCAGTGAGGCAGCGATTGTGGAGCAGGGCAGAGCACGCAACCCAGGATCCCAGGGAAGAGACCGAGGTCCCACAGAGAACAGAGCAACTGCCATTGTTCCCTCTTGACCCCGCTCCCGCATACAATGTCACAATCTAGAAACTTGGGTGCCCAGCCCTGGTGAACACCTAGTGCTCCGCCCCTCACCATAACAGGAGCGACCAGACCAAAAAAAAAAAACAAACAAAAAAAATAAAAACAAGAGAGAGATGGCTCAAACAGAAGAACAAATCAATGCCCCAGAACTCATCCTTTTAAGCATCCAAGAGATAGCCAACCTATTTGATGCACAGTTCAAAACACTGGTGATTAGGAAGCTCACAGAATTGGTTGATTTTGGTTGCAAATTAGATGAACAAATGCAGGTAACGATAAAAGAAATGAAGGAAAATGAACAGGGAACCAATAGTGATGGGCAGGAAACTGGGACTCAAAACAATGGAGTGGACCAGAAGAAAGAAAGAAATAACCAAACAGGAAAGAATGAAGAAATAAGAATTCAAAAAAATGAGGAGAGGCTTAGGAACCTCCAGAACATCTTTTAACGTTCCAACATCCACATTATAGGGGTGTCTGAAGGGGAAGAGGAAGAGTAACAGATTGAAAACGTATTTGAACAAATAAGAAAGGAGAACTTCCCCATTGTGGCAAAGGAAATAGACTTCCAGGAAGTCCAGGAAGCTCAGAGAGTCCCAAAGAAGTTGGACCCAAGAAGAAACACACCAAGGCACATCATAATTACATTAGCCAAGGTAAAAATGCAGGAGAGAATCCTAGAAGCAGCAAGAGATAAGGGGACAGTCACCTACAAAGGAGTTCCCATCAGACTGTCAGCTGATTTCTCAAAAGAGACCTTACAGGCAAGAAGGGGCTGGAAAGAAGTATTCCAGGTCATGAAAGACAAGGACTTCCATCCCAGATTGCTCTATCCAGCAAAGCTTTCATTTAGAATGGAAGGGCAGATAAAGTGCTTCTCAGATAAGGTCAAGTTAAAGGAGTTCATCATCACCAAGCCCTTATTTTATGAAATGTTAAAGGGACTTATCTCAGAAAAAAAGATAAAAAAAACATGTATAGTGAAATGACAGCAAACACACAATTATTAACAACCACACCTAAAGCAAAACCAAAAGAAACTAAGCAAACAACTAGAACAGGAACAGAACCACAGAAATGGAGATCACATGGAGGGTTAGCAACAGGGGAGTGGGAGGAGGAGAGAGGAGGAAAAGGTGGAGAGAATAAGTAGCATAGATTGTAGGCTGAAAATAGACAGGGGGAGGGCAAGAATAGTATGGGAAATGTAGAAGCTAAAGAACTTATGACACGTGGACATGAACTAAAGGGGGGAATGTGGGTGGGAGAGGGCATACAGGGTGAAGGGGAGTGAAGGGGGGAAATGGGACAACTGTAATAGCATAATCAATAAAATATATTAAAAAATAGTTTTAAATTCAAGGACACCCTGAAAGGTAGTCCTCTGGTCACACTTACAAAATTGCTGTTCTAGATGTTTGAATCCACATTTAAAGTGTTTTAAAAGTTACCGCTGAAGGTCACTATACAGTTTTACATTTTGCAACCCCAAAACAAGTGTGGTAGTTCCATGTTTTGATCCTCCTAATGTAGGCCTTATTCTGTGTCTTCTCTTAAAATTAATTCTGGTATGTTTTGTCATGCCATATTAATGAGGGCAAGGGTAAGAAAATGGAAGAATGTCTTCCTCAAACTATTCCAAAAAACTCAAGAGGAGGGAAGGCTTCTGAACTCTTTTTTATGAGGCCAGAATTATTCTAATTCCAAAAACCAGATCAAAACACTACAAAAAGGAAATTATAGGCCATTATCCCTGATGCACATACACATTTAAACCCTCAAAAAAATATTAGCATATTGGACCCAGCAATACATTAAAAAGATCATACACCATGATCAAGTGGGATTTATTCTGGGGATGTAAGGTTGGTAGCAAGATTGGTACAATATTTGCCAAAGAACATATATGCATATATGCAAAGCCCATGGGCACAGACAGCAATGTGGTGAAGGCCAGAGGTGGGGGCAGGGCTTGGTGGAGGGGGGAAAGAATCAACAACAAAAAATAAAATAAGTACATCTAGGAGAAATATTCAGCTTTTAGCTAACTGGGCAGTGTTCAAGAATGAAGTATATCTTAAAAAAAATAAGAAAACTTAGACTTGTGGAAGACTAACACATAAGAAATATCTATGTAACCATAGCTTTTGAAAGAAAATTGAATAATTGTGATAAACCTAAGGTTTTTTTGTTTTGTTTTGTTTTTAGCAAAGAGATAGAATTTTGTTTTTGCCTTAGACAAAAAAACACTTTATCTCTTACGTCATCTGTGGTTGTGGCCTCCTCTCTTCTTTAATCTCTTGAGCAACTTTGAATTTAGTCTATACAACATGAATAGTTCAGCAGATTAAAAAAGAAAATGGAAGAATGGTGGGCACTTTTGTTACATGTAATAAGTTGATTAATTCATTTTTTTAATTAGAGAAGAAATGCATAATTATGGTTCAAGGCTAATCTTTATTGATGTAGAACCACATTCCGAATTGTTTGGTCCAGTTTATGACTAGAAAGGATGAAGATTTGGGTAAGAACATCAGTCTGTTCTATCAGGGGTCTTGCTGCTTGTGCTTAACCATGGGAAACTAAGCTAGACTTTCATAGGGATGAAGGTCTTAGCTTTCTCTCATGTAGCAATGATGATATTGGAGTGTGTGCTCCTGTCCCATCTTCTAATTGGAACATTGCTTACATCTCCAGTAGCATGCCAAAGCCCTCTCAAATGGTGAGTTTAATGTGATAATTAGTTAGGATTAAATTGCCTGTTAAACAAAGTGATTTATAGCAATGTGCTATTAAGATTGGAAAGTTGTTAAATTATGAAATACCTTGTGCTTTATTTCCTTGATTCTAAAGTGTGCATTTTGGCATATTTTAACAACACTGAAATGAAAATGTTTTCCAGTCAAAGATGTGTCTGTCAGCTTAACTGGTGACATTCCCCTGAGGCCAATTTTGTGAAATAGTATCAGTTTTTTTGTTTTAATTTTGAAAGGTTATCTTCAAATATAGTTCTTTTACTATAATTATAATTGCCTGTTTTGTGAGGAAAACTACAATACATTTAAATTTTTTATAGCTTCTATTTTTAATGAGAAAGAACAAAATTTGGCAATAATTTATATATATATTTTTTCTGAAATGTGCACTTCCACACTAAGTTCTTCATAGCAAATAGGAAATTAACATTAAATTCTGCTCATGTAAATTGTTCAAAAGTATGCTCTCTTTTTTTAAAAAAGTGTTCTTTGCTTATGTTTTCAATTTGATTTTCTGTATTTAATGTTGTTCATAATAGGTTTATTTTAGGACAGTGGAACTGATACAAGAGCCCATAGAAGGGTCTCCTGGTCTGAGTTTCTACTTCAAAATTAACGGAGTTCCCATATTTCTGAAAGGATCAAACTGGATCCCAGCAGATTCATTCCAGGATCGAGTAACCTCTAACTTGTAAGTTACCATCTTTCTTTTCTTTTATTAATAGTCCCACAAAGCTCAAGAGTTACTCGTTCCTACTTTCTTTAGTTACAGTGGAAGGAACTGAGGGGTAATATAGAATTCTGGGATGATAGGAACTTTAGAATAGAAAGGATTTTTAAATGATGTGTTCCATTCTCATCAGGTATAGATAGTCTTCCAGCTAAACTATTTGAGACTGCTGAATCTATTCAACTTTTATTTATTTTTAATTCTTAAAATCACTTTTATTTTTCATTTTTACATTATATTTTATTGATTATGCTGTTACAGTTGTCCCAATTTTTCGCTTTGCCCTTCTCCACTCAGCACCCCCAACCCCTCAAGCAATCTGCACAGCATTGTTCATGTCCATGGGTCATGTGCATAGGTTCTTTGGCTTCTCCATTTCCTATACTGTACTTTACATTCCATGGCTACTCTGTAATTATTTATTTGTACTTCTTAATCCCCTCACCTCTTCATCCATTCCCCTACATCCCCCTGCCATCTGGCAACCATCAAAACACTCTCCTTATCCATGATTCTGTCTCTATTCTTCTTGTTTGCTTAGTTTGTATTTTAGATTCAATAGCTGATTGATATGTATTTATTGGCATTTTATTGTTCATAGTTTTGATTTTCTTCTTTTTCTTAAATAAGTTCCTTTAACATTTCATATAATAATGGTTTGGTGATGATGAACTCCTTTAGATATTTCTTGTCTGGGAAGCTCTTTATCTGCCCTTTGATTCTAAATGATATCTTTACTGGGTAGAGCAATCTTGACTGTAGGTCCCTACTTTTCATGACTTTGAATATTTCTCACCAGCCCCTTGTAGCCTGCAAAGTTTCTTTTGAGAAATCAACTTACAGTCTTATGGGAACTTCCCCGTAGGTAACTACCTTCTTTTCTCTTGCTGCTTTTAAGATTTTCTCTTTATCTTTAACCTCTCCAGCATTTTAATTATGATGTGTCTTGGAGTGGGTCTCTTTACATCCATCTTGTTTGGGACTCTGCTTTCTTGACTTGTATGTTTAGTTCCTTCACCAAATTAGGGAATTTTTCTTTCATTATTTTTTTCAAATAGATTTCCAGTTTCTTCCTCTTTCTCTTTAACTTCTGACACACCTATGATGCAAATGTTGGAATGCTTGAAGTTGTTCCAGAGGCTGCTTATACTATCCTCCTTTTTTTGGATTCTTGTTTCTTCTTGTTGCTCTGATTGGTTGTTTTTTGGTTCCATATGTTCCAAATTATAGATTTGGTTCTCAGCCTCATCCACTCTATTGCTGTTTCCCTATAAATTGTTCTTTATGTTAATTAGTGTGCCCTTTCTTTCTGACTGGATCTCTTTTATGCTGCTGAGATCCTCATTAAGTTCTTTGAGCATCCTTATAACCACTATTTTGAATTCTGCATCTAATAGATTTTATCTCCATTTTGTTTAGTTCTATTTCTAGAGTTTTGTTCTGTTCTTTCATTTGGGTCATGTTTCTTTGTCTCTTCATTTTGGCAGCCTCCCTGTGTTTGTTTCTATGTGTTAGGTAGAGCTGCTATGGCTCCCTGTCTTGGGAGTGTGGCCTAACATAGTAGGTGACCTATAGGGTCCAGTGGCACAGCCTCTCCTATCACCCAAGCTGAGTTCTTGAGGTGTACCCTTCATGTGGGATGACTATACTCTCCTCTTATATTTGAGCCTTAATTGCTGTAGGTAGGTCAATGGGAGGGAGTTACCCAGGTCAGTCAGATGCAAGGACTGGCTGTGACCACTGACCACCAACCTGTGCCTTCTGTGGAGGATCAGCTGTACAGGGACAGGGTGGTGGTGTTCCACCTGGTCTGTAGCTGTCCACTGGGTGTGCTGGCTCTGAGGTTTCCTGGGTGGCGCAGGCCAAGGTCAGCACCAACCTGTGTTTTGCCTGGGGCCACCCTGCCTGAGCTGTAAATCAATCTGAGATGGCTGTTACTTGTGCTGAGCTTGGAAATTCTCAGGCAAAGCCAAGTTGTGAATCTAGGCTGGCTGCTGCTAGTGCAGGACCTGGGGCTCACTGAGGCCTGCTGTTCCTTGTTTGATAGGGTTTAGGAAATTGTTTAGCTAGAGTCAAAACCAGCCATTCATATGGAAAAGCAGCTTGGGTGGGCCTCTAAGTTGGGTGGGACAGAGTCTCAGATATGGCACTTAGCCTTCTGGCTCTATGGCTCTGTGTGGGGAGGATTCAGAAAAGGGACAACAGCCTCTGCCTAATTTTCTGTCTGGGAGAAAGCTGTCCCTAGCTCCTGCATGAATGCCAGACACTTCAGTGTCTCTCTGCATGCCACTGTTGCCTTTCAAGCTGCTACCTTGGTTCTGGAGCTTAGAGGGAGTGAGCTGGAGTAAGTCCGTGTATGGGTTCTTTAAGAGGAACTGGTTGGGACTCTAGAATTTTCTTCCACCGACTCAGTGCTTGCTGGTTTTTGCAGCCAGAGTTATAGGGACTTACCTTCCTGGCACTGGAACCCTGGGCTTGGTGGCCTAGTGTGGGGCTGGGACTCTTTGTTCCTGAGGTATCCCTCCCAAATTTTTATCCACCAGATGTGGATATGGGACCAGCCCACTCTGCATCTCTGCCCCTCCTACCAGTCTGGATGGATGTGGTTTCTTTAATTCTGTAGTTCTCAGGCTTATAGTTCATTTCTAACAGTTCTGAATGATGGTTGGTCTATGTTTTGGTTGTAATTTTGACATGGTTGTGAGGAGGTGAGCCATGTTTACCAATGCCCCCCTCTTGACTGGAAGAAAGTATCTAAATTTTAGAAACTTCTTATGTATTTTCTCTGGAGGAATAAGACCATGCCTAATGCACATTTTGGATAGTTAGTCCCTGGGAAAAAAAAGATGATTGCATTTGGGTTTCCCCCCCAGTTTTTCAAAGAATACCTTAAATATTTTTGTTCATGTTTTAAAAAAATGAAAACCCATGTTTACCTCTTCATGCTAAGATATTTGCATATTTCTTTATTTTTACCTTAATAAAAGCAACTAAAATAAAAAATTTCTAGATCTAGAAAAAAATTAAAATAAGTTTTTGAAGCTTTGAAAATAGAACAATATAAGAAAATAACTTTTTTAAATTGGGTTTATAAACTATTATCTCTGTGATAGTAAAGGTAAATCTTGCGAAATGAAAATAAACATATTTAACTTGTTTACAAATGTATAAATATGCATTATAGTATATTATTTGATGTTTTAAATTTACATGTGTTTGGTTACTAAACTCTAATTTTGCCCAAGCTTGCATTAATTTCCTTTTACTTCAAAATGTGTATATTGTTTTTGAATTTCATATTAAAATGAAATTATTCTCCAGACATAGGCATAGATAATTAGCTGATTCTCTTTTTAAATGGCCCTCTCCTCTTCTGACTGGTTTTGGTGGCAGCTGTTCAGCACAGCTGGGCCAATTAGTAAACCTGCCCATGGGCCCCTTTTTGAGAGCATGATACTCCGTGTCCCCCGGAAGCCTGTTATTGGCCTTTTTGTTCCTTTCTGGGCACTGCTCTGGAGATGGAGGGTGCATGCTCTCAAAGTGGCCGTGAATTTGTAGGCTCTCTAGAGGGTAATGTGAATAGGAATTGGACAAATATAAAAGAAGTTTCCTAGAGAAAGAACTGTTGGACTAGAGGAATTATAAAAAAGGAGATAAGAGTAAGCTAGCTAGGTACTAATATTCAGATTTCGATTTTGGTCTTACAGTTTGAAATGGTTATATAACATTACCACATACTTTTCCAAGGTTTACAATTATATTTTTCTACAGGAATAACTTTAAGACAAAGTTCAGTTTTAAAAACAGCATAATAACATTGCTGAAAATTTAGAAAGCAGGGAAAATATCATTCATAATTTTTCTGAGTTCATTTATTTTATGTACTTATGGTTAATCTGTATATAATTTTGTCTCTTAGCATTCTATCCAAACCATCATAACTTTAAAATGTGTTTTTCTAACAGAGATTTTAAGTGTGTTTATCAATTACAATATGTTTTAAAATCTTTTTTAATACCCCCAAATTTTTAAAATAGTATTTGGTTTTAAAACTCCTCTGCAGGTTAGCCACCCTTTTGCGGTCTGCTGTGGATGCTAACATGAATGCGCTGCGGGTGTGGGGAGGAGGGATATATGAGCGTGATGAATTCTATGAACTCTGTGATGAACTCGGAATAATGGTGAGTAATTGACAGCATTTTATTCCGTAATGTGTTACTGTATGTGTTCTGAGAGGGCGATATTGCTTATTCCTTCTTTTCTTAGAGTCAGGAATGATGTTCCATTTTTTGCAAAAGAATAAATGGCATCTTAAGAATCTAGAACTATAGTTGATAGTGAATATCATTATTATTTTATTATTTTTAACTCATAGACATTCTCTGTAGTAGTTATATGTAAGTGTATAGCTATCTGTACTTTCTTTGTAATACGAGAGTATGCATAAAAAAGAAAATATTTAAAAATTTTAACTTTGAGACTAACTAGCCCTAGAGAGAGATAAAATAATACAATTAAATAAAGGTGTGCTTAATGTTTTTAAGTTCTTCTAACATGTTTTGTGTTAGTGAGGGTTAAGCAAAGGAAGTTTATTTTTAGTTCTAGTATTACAGTTATGAAATACAAAGCTCTCCATAAAAGAGTAGTACTTATGAAAATATCAATAATGCTGATGGTCATGATGATGTGACAGGTTTCTGTAATATTTGTTGAGTGCCAGGCATTGTTCTCACTGTTCTGCCTCTATTATTTCATTTCATCTTCATGCCTGTTCTATGGGGTAGTCATTGTTATTCTATGTCCCCATTTTACAGATGAGGAAACTCATCTGGGCAGAAGTTGAATAACTCACCCACACTCAATCCGTGGGGCTGTGGTGGAATCCAGGCTCCAACTCAGGCTCACTGACTTGGGGCCGTGTTCTTGATCACAGCATTAATGACAGCCTGCCTAGGAATGAGCTAATGTGGCTTCAGTACTAAAATGTCCATGTAGTAATTTTGGGGGCCATGAAAACTGAATTCCTTCATAAACAACTTATATTTCTTATTAGTCTGGTCCATTTGTCGATACCAAATTCCCAGTGAAAATTAGAGTGAATTAGGAGTGAGGTAGGACTGGGTGGAGCGGGAGCTTCATTTTGAATTTTATATCCCCCTCAACACACTTTCATTATTGAATTCTCCTTTTCTCTCTTTCCTGCCTACCTCACATTTTTCTCTTTTCAGGTTTCCCTGCAGTTCTGCGCAGTTCTGAAAAGTTGTGGGGTCCCTCAGCGCCTTTCCCAGTGTCTTGCCCATAGTAGTGCTGAAATGGCCATACTCCTCAGGCAAACGTAGTTTTGTGTGAAAGATAATAATCATGGTCCAGAGTGAAGAATTTCTTTCTGTGTGATAAAACTCTGTGGACATGCTTTATTGCCTTTTATTTGATTTGCTAGGTATGGCAGGATTTTATGTTTGCCTGTGCCCTTTATCCAACGGATCGGGATTTCATGGATTCAGTGAGAACAGAAGTTGCTCACCAGGTACGTTGTTACCATTCCAAGAAGAAGGAAAATGCTTACGTTTTAGTTTTGCTTTCTGTTAAACCTCTTGTGGTTCTTTTTGTTGTTCTCTTTACTAAATCCCATGAAAAATCACAGTCAGGTAATTGACTTTCTAGGTGATTCCATTCAGTCTCACAGCTTTATCACCTTATGACTCTCAGATTTATCAGCTGTCCTGACTTCTCTGCTGAATTCCTGAGGCATGTATCCCGCTACCAACCAGGGTCTCAACTTGGAGGTTTAATAGTCATCCCAAATGTAACATGTCCAAACCAAACTTCTATTACCTTCCCCAAACTCGCTTTTCCTAGTTTTTAATGATTGGCAATGCCTGTCTGAATTTCATAGGCCAAAAATTTTAAGTGATTCTTCACTCTTGATTTCTTTTGTATTCCATATATACACACTTACATTTATGTTTACAGGTCTGCAAATGCAAGGAAGTGATTATATCCTAGCTCCATCCACTGAAAAGGCCTAGAAACAATGAACAACTAGTAATACTGAGCATCCTTACGTGAAATAATATGTCTAATTAAGAGAAGGGCTTCTCAGAGAAATGGCTGATTTCAGTCAGGTCTGGCACAGGAAATATACCGATAGATTATCCTGGAATATTTTGACACACAGATAGCAAGGAAGCCATAATAAATATGCCAAAAGAACTTTGATGAGAGTCTGACCAACCAAAAGTGGGACAATTTGAGGTTCAATAAAGATAAGAATGTTGGTGGATTGAAATCCATCAAGTGTGTTGTAATACATGAGCTTTTAATTACAGTGGAGGTGTAGTTGCATGAAAAACCAAAAGAAATGCAAGGATTGCTCTAACACTCAAGATAGTGGTTACTTCGAAAGGAGGAGCGGCCTGATTGGGAAGAGAGGCCTGTGAGGGCTTCTAGGGTGGTTGGTAAAGTTTTCTTTCTTGGTCTCAGTGGTGGTTACAGACTGATTGCCTTTAATAATTTACTATGCCATGATTTATTTTCTTTATCTGTGTTTTATTTTTTTTAAACGTTTAAAAAGTGCAAATGGAATCATCCCTTGCTCAAAGTCCTCCAGATAAAGTTAAAGACCCCCGGCAGGGCCTCTCCTGCCCTGCCTGCCTCTCCACCGCATCCAGCACCATCTACCTGTGCCGTCTGCCCCAGAACACCGTCCCCATCACAGTCCCTTGGGGACCTCGTCACTCATTATTCCCTTTTGCCCCTCTTTCCTTGAGCATGGCTTTCTCTGGGAAAAACCTTTCTAAATCTGCAAATCTAATCAGGTCATTTGCTTTTTGTGACACACATCCCTTTGAATTGCTTGTTCGGGTTTTGTCACCCCTGCAAGGTTGTAATCCACCTGAGCTTGGGCCTTGCTTCCCTCTGTATCCCCACTCCCTGGCTGGATTCTTCATCAGGTAGATGGATGGATAAATGAGTAACTTTTAAAGTGCTAATCATAGTTAGTAGGTTGCAAACATTTCAGTTTTATCTTTAATTTTCTTTCATGCGTATAATTAAAATAGGATATCTATGTGCTTTGAATTCTTTTATTTATTATTAAAGAGGAGAGCTTTTTATGCAGACTTTGTTAACATTTTAAAGTAAAGCTTACCATAAAACTCTAGGTCAGTCTGAAGGGTGTCGCAGAGTCACTGAAGGTTTTGCCTCTTCAGGATTTGTGTTTGTGTTTTTATCAGTACCACAAATGCACCAGTCACCATGGTAGCAGCCCTCTCTTACCTGGGGGTACATAGAGGCAAATAAAGGAGATACTATTTAAGAGGCTATTTTGGAAAAACACAAATGTTCACCTTTTTTTTTTAAAGATTTTATTTATTTTTAGAGAGGGAAGGGAGGGAGAAAGAGAGAGAGAAACATCAATATGCAGTTGCTGGGGGTCATGGCCTGCAACCCAGGCATGTGCCCTGACTGGGAATCGAACCTGCGATGCTTTGGTTTGCAGCCCATGCTCAATCCACTGAGCTACGCCAGCCAGGGGTTATAATGTTCACTTTTTTTAAAGTGAAATGTATCTCTTTAATCCTTAATGCATTTCTATATCATGAATGTATTGCCTAGTATCTTGAATGGAGACCACAGTAGAAACATCAGCTGGGACCCATCACTGTAATCATCCAGTACAGAGAAAGAGAAGCTGTAAATACTGCTGAGGTTATACTGCTAAGACAAGTTCCAAAAGAATTTTTCTAGACCATTGACTCACTCTGTTGTTCATTGCCTTCTTCTATTTGGTACATCCCCCAGTGTGTCAGAGAACTGGGTCCTTTCAGCTTTATGGAGGGCGGGCCGACAGTGAGCCCAGATCATGCTGACTTCAATTCTTAAGACTGGCAGGGTTTTAGATAGATTCATTAATTTAGTCTTAGTTGACTTCCTTTTATATGACATTGATACTTATTTCAGGTAACACCCTCTTGATGCCCTAATTGTTTTCTTCTTTAGACTATTCCATACATTTGTGTTTAACTTCCAGAGTCTCTGGTACTCACTCGCTTTGTAAAACCCTCTCTAGTCCTTATGGTTCTTTGACATGGTGGAGACTGTGTGGGGATCCCAATACCTCTTTCAGCAGAAGTGTTTGTTCTGCCTCATTTGTTTCTTCACACAAGCTCCAGCTTGCTCTTGAGACAACTAACCCCTGTAATGTAACGTGATATCTCCTACATTCCGTGTTTCTTAGAACCTTGGTGTGAGTCAGATCAAGATGAGGTTGATTTGTTTTACTTGTCTAATAAAAGGGATCATATTTTCTTCAGTTTTTATACAGCAGGGAAGACAAGCTCTATCATATTGGTATTTATAAAATCTAGATAAAAGGAATATCAGAGATTTCTTAAAATATATTTCCACAGGTAAACTTACTAGCCATTTTCTTATAGGTTTTCTGGCACAAAAAAACTTACGTGAAGAAATTCAATGGTTATAATTTTATGAATATTATAATTCTGAGTTTTTTTATGTTGAGCATTTGCAAATTATTTTATGTTTTCTTAAATTTTAGATCAGGAGACTGAAATCTCATCCCTCCATCATCGTTTGGAGTGGGAATAATGAAAATGAAGCAGCTCTGATGATGAACTGGTACAGCATAGACTTCCAACACCTGCACACCTATATCAAAGATTATGTGAAACTGTATGTGAAAAACATTCGAGAGGTCGTCTTGGCAGTAAGTAATGGTTTTTAATGCAGTAGAATTTCAGAACCTGTTTTAAAAATGGATCAGTTTGAGTATTGGTGTAGTATATTTTTATGCCCTTTATTTTAGGGCAACCTTCAACAATATCATTTTAATGCAGAGTAATCCATTGTAGTGCTGCAGCCTGTGAAAGGATTTGTGGGTTTGAACTTCTTTAAGGATTGACATACCTGTGGAACTCACCACACATGCACCAGTATTGTGCTTAAATTGCAGCTTGTCACAGACACTTTGGAGCCCATCTGTGGGTTCCCAAAGGTTGTAATTCTGTCTATTAGATGATATATCAATGTGTCACTTGTTTTATTTTTAAAAATTTTAATTGTATTTTTTCCATTACCATTTAGTCCCCTTACGACTCTCTCCCCACACAATCACCACACTGTTGCCCATGTCCATGAGTCCTTTTTCCTTTTTGCTCAATCCCTCCATCCTCTAACTGCTGCCCCCCCCATACCCCCCACCTTAGCTGTCAGCCTGCTTTCTGTCTGTGAGTCTGCCTCCATTTTGCTTGTTAGTTCAGTTTGTTCATTAGATTCCACACATGAGTGAAATCATGTATTTGTCTTTCTCTGACTGGCTTATTTCACTTAGCATCCATGCTGTTGCAAAGGGTAACATTTTCTTCTTTTTTATGCCCAAATATTATTCCACTGTGTACATGTCCCATAGTTGTTTTATCCACTCATCTACTGATGGACCCTTGGGCTGCTTCCATATCTTGGTAATTGTAAATAATGCTGCTATGAACATAGAGGTGCTTATGTTCTTTTAGATTAGTGCTTTGGGTCCCTTTGGATATATTCCCAGAACTGGGATTGCTGAGTCAAAAGGCAGATCCATTTTTAGCTTTTTGAGGTATTGCCATACTGCTTTCCACAGGGGTTACACCAATCTACATTCCCATCAACAGTGCAAAAGGGTTCTCCTTTCTCCACATCTTCGCCAGCACTTGTTGTTTGTTGATTTATTGATGATAGTCATTCTGAGAGATGTGAGATGATATCTCATGGTTTTAATTTGCATTTCTCTGATGATTAGTGATGTTGAACATCTTTTCATATGTCTGTTGGCCATCTGTATGTTCCTTTTGGAGAAGTGTCTATTCAGGTCCTTTGCCCACTTTTTAATTGGATTGTTTATTATTTTGGTGTTGAGTTTTGTAAGTTCTTTACAATTTTTGGATATTAATCCTTAATCAGATGTATTGGGGAATATGTTCTCTCATTCTAAGGATTGTCTTTTTATTTTGTTGATGTTTTCCTTTGCTGTGCAAAAACTTTTAAGCTTGATATAGTCAGTCCCATTTGTTTATTTCTTCTTTTGTTTCTCTTGCCTGGGGAGATATGTCAGGTAAAATATTGCCATGAGCACTGTCTGAAATTTTACTGCCTATGTTTTCTTCTAGGATTTTTGTGGTTTTGGGTCTAATATTAAATCTTTAATCCATTTTGAGTATTCTTGTGTGTGGTGTAAGAAGGTGGTCTAGCTTCATTTTTCTGCACATATCCATCCAATTTTAAAAGTATATTAAGATAGTGAATTCTGTTAATTAATTTTCTAATGATAATCTGCTCCTAGTAAACGCTTTATATAGTTAATATGCTTTTATTCTTTTACTCTATGCCAGACTTGATTTGCTCATATTTTAATTAGAATTAAAAATTCATAGTCACAAGTGAAATTGCCTCTGGTAAGCACTGTAAACTCAAATGCCTAGAGGAACCAATTTTCTTTCTAAATTGAGTAAAGTAGAGTAGATGATGCTCACAAAGAAAGAAGAGGGGGCTGTGGTAATAGAAGAATTGGATTTTGGGTCTCATTCCATATTTAAAATGTTACCGATACATAATCATTGGTAAGACAGACTTGGCCCATAGAACTCAGCTTGTAGCATTTTGTATGTGTGTATGTGTTTGTACTCATCTCACAGGATGAATTAGGAGGCTTTTTTAATGTGTAGGAACAACTTATTTATTTATTTATAATTTTTTTAAGTTTCTCTATGTGGAATGGTTGATCTTGAGCCTGCAGGGAGCAAGGTGGGCCCAGACTTGTCCAAGTCCACATTTCTTTGCCTCCAATTCGTATGTGTCCAAAAATAAGTGCATAGGGACAATTTAAATAAAATAAAGATTATCAGTTTTGTTGAGACAAGTTCACCCATAAAACAGGGCCCAATATCTTTTGGGGGGAATACATTCCTTCCCCATATATTTAATTTATCTTATGGTTATTATCCAATTTGGGTTTACAACTTCTGGAATTATGAACCTTTATGCTTTCTAGGAATATAGCATTTCTTCCAGAATTTAAAAGTTCCTGTGTAAGGAGACATGCTGTCATTTATAGTATGTTAGTTGGGATCAGCTGTGTAGACTGAGACCACAGGATTGTCAATGAAAGGAATGTTTGGGTGTGGAAGTCACTCCCTTTCCTGTGCATGTGTTTCTATGTACTTTGTGTATATATGCATCTATTGTGGATGTCTTCAGTTACCCCTGGAAGCAAATACCCCAGCCAGAAGATTTCCATAGGCAGGGAAAATAAGGGACACAGCTGACTTAACTTTGCTACAGATATTATAGGTATATCTTTTCTTCTTCTTCCTTTTCCTCTGTTACCTCTTCCTCCTCCTCCTCTTCTTCTTCTCCTTTTCCTTTTCCTTATTTTCATAAGAGAGCACTATAGAGTCTTTTTACTTTTTTTTAAACTCCTTTCACCCATTTCTCTCACCCCTGTACCCCTCACTTCTGGCAACCACCAATCTGTTCTCTATATCTATGAGCTTGTTTTTTTTTAAGATTCCACATATAAATGAGATCATGTGGTATTTGTCTTTTTCTGCCTGACTTATTTTACTTAGCATAATGCTCTCAAGGTCCATCTATGGTATCACAAATGGCAAGGAATTGAAAACCTCTTTGAAGAAGTAATGATGGAAGACTTACCAAATTTGGTGAAGGAAATAGACACAGAAGTCCAGGAAGCACTGAGAGTCCCAAGCAAGATAAACTGAAGAGGTCTACCCCGATACAGCATAATTAAATTGGCAATGATTAAAGACAAAGAGAGAACCTTAAAAACAGCAAGAAAAAAGCAGTTAGTTACCTACAAGGGAGCTCCCATAAGACTGTCAGCTGATTTTTCAACAGAAACTTTGCAGGTTATAAAGGATTGACAAGCAAGGACCTACAACCAAGATTAATCTACCCAGGAAGGCTATCATTTAGAATCAAAAGACAGATAAAGTGCTTCCCAGACAAGAAAAAGCTAAAGGAGTTTATCATCATCAGTATTAGAATAATCATTAAGGGGTCTTGTAGAAGAAGAAGGAGAAAGAGAAGGAGGAGAAAAAATATTAATAATGAAATGGCAATAAGTACATACCCATCAGTAATTGCTTTAAATGTAAATGGAGTAAATGCTCCAATTAAAAACACAAGGTAGCTGGATGGATAAGAAAACAAGACCTATGTATATGCTGTCTATAAGAGACCCACTTCAGGTCAAAAGATACACACAGAATGAAAGTAAAGGGATGGAAAAAGATATTTCAGGCAAATGAAAATGAGACAAAAGTTGGAGTAGCAATACATACATCAGAAAAAAAATAGACTTAAAACAAAGGCTCTAACAGGAGATGAAGAAAGACCCAGCAATTCTAAGTATTTATACAAAGGAAACCAAAACACTAATTAAAAAAGATGATGCACTCCTATCTTTAATACAATAGTATTTACAATGTCAAGATATGGAGCAACTTAAGTATCCATCAATGGATGAATAAAGAAGATATGGTACATATATACAATGGAATATTACTCTACCATAAAAAGAGTAAAATCTTGCCATTTGCAACATGGGTGCAACTAGAGGGTATTGTGCTAAGTGAAATAAGTCAGATAGAGGTAGACAAATACCTTATCATTTTACTTATATGTGGAATGTAAAATACAAATTAAACAAAACAGAAATACTCATCAGTACAGAGAACATTTTGATGGTTGCCAGATGGGAGATGGTTGAAGAGATGAATAAAAAAGGAAGGGATTAAGGTGCACAGATTGCCAGTTATAAGAACAGTCATGGGGCCCTGGCTGGTGTGGCTCAGTGGATTGAGTGCTGGCCTGCAATCTGAAGGGTTGCCAGTTCAATTCCCAGTCAGGGCACATGCTTGGGTTTTGGGCCAGGTCCCCAACTGGGGGCGTGTGAGAGGCAGCCAATTGATGCAATCTCTCACACATCGATGTTTCTCTCTCTCTGTTTCTCCCTCCATTCCCCTTTCTCTAATAATAAATAAATAAATAAATAATTTTTAGAAAAAGAACAGTCATGGGGATATAAAGTACAACGTAGGGAATGCAATCAATGATACTGTAATAAGTATGTGTGGTGTCAGATGGGTTATTAGACTTACCGGGGTGATCACTTTGTAAGTTATATAAATATCTAATCACTATGTGGAATACCTGAAATTAATATAATATCATAAGTCAACTGTAATTGAAACATAAAAAAATTTGTTTAAAAGTAAAATTCTGTAAGTAAATGCTAAAGTAGAATTTGCTATATATAATATATGAATCTGTTGGTGTGCGATATAAGGAGCAAATGTAGAGGAAAGAGCTGGTTTCCAACTCTGCTTAGAGTGGTTCCCTTTGCACCACTCTTTGCTTAATGTGCATAGTGTTCTGGTATTCACTACATGCATGCACATTGTACCTTAATACAAACTGGCCTTTTTTTTTTTCCCTTTTGTTTTCAGGGAGAGGAAGCAGCATTTTTGCTTGTTTTTGAAGTAATGCCTTCAAAAGTTTAACTTTTTAAAAACTTTAATGTTTGATATGTGATTTAATAATGTGACTGTATTTACAATTTTTATCTGTATTTAGATGTTTCAAATATTTGCTATATCCTAAAGTAATTTGAAACAGGTATATTTAAAAGAATGCTATGTGATTCTGGTA